GTCTCCGTTGTTTCCAATACCGACACACCGATGAAAAGTAGGTTAAGTTATTTGAAACGGTACTTAGGGTGGTCGGGTGGCGTAGCGATAACGCACTGCTTTTCAGCTAGTCGTCCGGTGTTCGATCCCTCATCATCAGTTCTTTATTCTCATAACTTAATACATAAGTGTTGAGAAGGTACAACATGTGATTATACAATAATGTATAGATAGCCTACACATTCTATACAATGTACAACAGGTTACCCAGGAGGGTTTTGTTTATCTTTAAGAATAGTAAGAAATTTACATAGGTTGTGCAATGTACTGAAGTTTGAACAGTTCATCAAGTTGTAGAAATTAATACAATTTGGTATGTTACGATATCGAGGGTGAATATATAAATTTCTGTACTGTACCAGTTCTGGATTTTGGCATTTAAATATTTGAATCACATATCAAACACTTCCTGTCTTCTCTGGGTACATTTCTTCGTCTTCCAGTTTCTATGGTAAGATTGAAGTTACATGTTCTAAATTTTGTTAAGATCCTTCTGTTTTTAATAGGTAGTTTGATTAGATAACTTTCAAGTTTCAGTACATTTTTAAACATTCTGTAGTTTATACATTTAGAAATATTCATAATCTTACTTTCCCAGGATTGTAGAAACTAACTATATAAAACAGAGCGCAAAACATTTCTTAACCAAGTACTATTGACATTAATAGGATTTTGCCATACATAAGACAATCCGCATTCATCAATAATACTCTTTACAAATTCCTGGAACGGACGTGAAATGGTCACATGCCCGATCACGTGGGTATTCTCCGGGCAAACAAGAGTGATTAGTATAAGTTGTTACAATTTTTTTCGCAAATGTAACATAAATTAAGTTCATATTAACATACGAAACCATTTTTGCATATAGATAGTTTCGGGTCTCGATTTGACCTACTTATTTTGACCAGAAGGCAAGTCATTTCATTTACTTACCTGGTCACTGATAAGTAAACAATCCTGCTTTGAGCATTACGTAATGGGTCAGTTAGTTTTCTTTTTTCACAGTCTTTTGAAAATGTCAGTGAGCAGGATTCTGTGGTGGGTTTTAGTCAAAGACTCGCCTTAACCCACATGTCACGTTTTGATTTATTTGAATAATGGCACGGTTCAGAATATACACAAATTTCACGTTCTTTTGAAACCATCATATAATGGAAAGTGAAAAAAAACGAAATCTATTGAACTCCGTAAAAATTTTCTATTATCATATTGCACCTCCATATCCATTTTTTAACATTCTTTGAGATCGGTTTGCATTTCTCACAAGTCGCCAACTACATTTCAAAATTTGAAACCCCTGTCATCACTTCCAAGTCTTAAAAGGACGAAGCAGCTGCACTTAAATTTTGGCTATATTAGTGTGTATTGAAAGCAATTAATTTATGTGTCCTCTGTAGAAATAATAGTAGGTATATTGGTATTATTGACACACGGGAGGGTTAAAATGTCCAATGATATTTGATCTCAAAGCAATAGACGTTCACTATACTACTATAGCTAAAGTTCCCTTCGAAACAACAGTGATACAGTGACCAGACTGCAGTATGACCACAAACGTAGTTGCTTAGCGAAGGACTGATCTAACATCATAGGACAGAAATACAAAACTTGCATTCAACCTAAAATTATTCATTTTTAATGCATTTTGAAAAAAACTTTAATGTTTCTGGAAGATGTATTTCCGTCGATTTCGTTAAAGCCCTGAATTCGAATGTCTTGAAGCTGTTTACTCGCCACATCAACCGTCCATAAACATTGTAGTATTTTGAATATGAAAGCACACGAATAACGAAAAGAACAAAAATTAAACAGTAAGAAGCACGCCAATCAATAAATTGACTGTTATAAGAATGTACAATACGACACTGTACAAATATAGTACAGGGCGCTAGAGTATTATTGTCAGTTTATATCAATAAGAATTGGTTGGATACGTGGTAGATAACAATCTTACACAATGCAACAATGCGAAATTAAAGGCCAGTTGCCGTAAAGCTATACAAAGCATTAACTGGAGTGTTACATCACCAGACAACTTTCCTCAATCCTGCTAAATAAGTGATAAAAATTATTGAGTTTGTAAAATCAAACTCGATATTTAAATATAGATAAACCGAAAATAGCCTAATAGTGAAATCCAGAGAGTCAAAATTAGAATTTTCGCCAATTTATATTATATGAAGATGTGAACTAATACTGTCATTCAATTAGGTTCGTAAATTTCAACAAAAAATGACTTCAAGAAAATGCTTTATACCTAAAGTACAGCAAAGTATTCCAACAGCACTTCTTGACATTCGTACGAATTAAGTGTGATGCACTGGGTTCAACTCCATTTCTAGTAAATTATAAATATACATGAATACACTGTGTATTCAAACGTGGCTTATGTAGTTATTGTGGCAAACTAACGCCTCATAAATTCTGTGTGATATCGATAAAATCTGCTATTGCTCTACTCTAATATAATTAGAAATACAATCTTAGAAATAATAATCAATAATAACAAATGTTGCAGTTTAATTTATTATTTATAAGAAATGACAAGATTATTAACATCTTATTTTATGATTCATAATTGTCTGAATTAATAATTAGTCTCATTAGGTTAAGGCTGTGGCTTACGTAACTTCAAGTAAAGAACCTGGCTGTGTACGCGTCGGTGTTTTTTCAGGAAACTGAGAAACAGACGGGTCTCCGTTGACTTGATTGTGGTTGGACAGGACATTAACCCTAATTGCTCTGGGTGACATGTGACTGGCCTTTCGTATACTGGTAAGTGAAATAGCCACCGAGCTACTTTACAGCGACCCCGCCTCAAAATGACTCTGGCTACTAAAGGGACGATAGACCCCACAATCAATACGGAGTGTTCCATAATCGAAACATGGTAAAAACAGAACAAATAAATCTGACAAGGAGAAAAAAGTTTTATATGTTCGAATGAAAAATACATATATACATTTCATCACACATTCGTAAAATACATTTCTTTAATGACTCTTTCGTAAACGATTCACAACAAATTAATCATTACTTTCACATCTCCATATAACGTTTGAATCAAATAAACAATGCAAAATTATTTTAACACATTTTATTCCATCGGATAAACTTCTTTCATGACACTGATCCTTACACTACATAAAACCTAGAATCAATGTCTATATCTGCCTTGTTGGAGTTTCTTATGGTAAGTTTTCAACGTGTACTTCAGTGCAAACTTACCAATTATTGTCCTCTGTTCATATGGATATTTATTAACCGGAGCCGGAGGACATTATTATTACGAATATATACGAACTGAACCAAACTTAAGACAATATCTCATCAAAGGAAATGAGGAATGGACACGCGGCGTCTTGACATCAGCGTTATAATTTGTCTGACGTCACAAGTCTGGATGGACTGGACGTGGAGTTAATGTTGCAAAGTATTAATCTGACACGTGATTACTCTTTTCCAATCACTAACAAATATTCACTACAATCAGAAATTGAATTAATATTTGTTGTGTGATTCATTTCATCAATAACAGATATTTCAGTTTCTATGAAACACCATTTTGGATCTTTTTATAAAATTCTTGATTGATTGATTTTCGTAAAATCGAAAAGACATTATCAAAACAAATTCTTTTTTAAAACAGCTATTGTCGTCTCGTGCACTAACAAAAGTATTGAGATTATTCTGTATATTTAGGTACAGAAATCAAACTTATTCATATGCAATATTTTCATTTTGGAATGATATATTACAACATAGAACTAGACACTGCATTTTTGTACTAAATACGAATAATCTATAGTTCGAATGTTCGTTTTTACATATTTATTTTTTGGGTGGTAAATAGCACTTGCTAGATCGATCATAGCTTATACTCAATCAAGGCCTATGTGGTTTTGAATGCGATTTTCTTATGTTCATGTAGTACTTTTCACGTCATCAGGTTTTCTTTTTTCATACGTATTTCGAAACATCAAGAGGATATTTCGTTAAACACATTCATCTAAGAAAAACTTTCAGGCAACTGGATAAACAAATTTTGAAATTTTATTCTCATTTCTCATTTGAATGACAATTTATCACATCTTTGAAATATCAATAACTCAATTTTCAAAAACCGTTATGGTTGTTGAATCGTTACAGACTTTGAGATAAAGAACAATTGAAATCTGACATTCCAACATTGACAGGTTAGCGGAGAAATTTACAGCTGACCGTACGCATCTTTAAACCTTCTCGAAATGTTCAATAAACCTCGCAGCTGTATATTCTTGAATAATATTTTTGTGAATAAGCTCAATAACACCACACTTATTCAATCGATCACAGAATACTGCTTTAATACTTCATTAGATATACAGAAACTAACACCTGGTATTAAATTTTGATACGTTGTTGACATTCAACGTATATTAGAGAAAACACATGACAAAATCAACACACTACATATTTTTATCCCTCATCATTTACTTATGCATAGCACGTGGAATATTGGAAGTACATAATCTAAAGGATGTTGTTTGTATGCTTATAAAGTTACCAAGGAGTATGTATCAGGGGTTATTTTAACTTTGCATGACAACAAAATCTTGAACTTACTTGGTTACTAAGATCTAGACTAATATGAATTTGATGTGTAATTATTTCATATAAATTGTAAATACATGTATGTAATGAAAATAATAATAAATGTTGACTTTTCACTTTAATTAATATGTAATTGACCTTACATATATATATGTATGTATTTGACATATCATCAACTTGTAATTGAAATATTTACATATATATATAAGGCCTGATATTTGATAAATTGATACATATGGATATTTTTATGCAATTATAAATCTAAGATAATTTCACCAAAACAAGCATGCTTTGTCGCTCTACAAAAAAAATCTTAAATGACGAAGGGAAATGTAAAAAAAATCCACATGACTGGAAAACTGTTCTCACACTTTCACGAGCATTCTTCTGCGCAAGTTCTGTAGTAATTTGTTAAACACATCCTTGAAGACTCGTGTATTAGGACTTTGAAGAGGATTAAGGAATGAACTCGGCCTTAATGGAGACTGAAATAATGGAATTTTCGCCTCGCTGTGCTCTTGCCATAACGATAGGTCAATTGAAGGAATCTGATTACATAATAACTTTCTGTTGCTGCAATTGAAATAGAAAAGAGATTATTGTAAGATCTACATATATTCTTCGCACAATAATCAAACTTAATGATATTGATTTCTTTTTGTTTTGACATTTTTGTTTTTCTTTCGTTGAAACATCATTCGTAATGGATTACAAATAATACCAAACCATGATGCAGTGTCCATTGTCCGTTTTTTGTGTTATTTTCCTTTAAACTATAATAGTCCAAAAAGGATTCTAACTAAGTTGGTATTATACATTCATGGAATACCTAATTCCGTATTTCAAGACAAATACTGTTTTCTTCTGACAATTTCTTTTTTTATATCATTTAGTGGTTTTTTAGATATTCAAACTTAGCTTTGAAATGACAACCTATGGAAACGCACCTGTAGTCGTCTGTAGCTAAAAATACTGATGGCTGTGTGAGTTGAGTCCCGGTATTTTTACACAAAACGGAAGCCAGAGAAGTTTTCTTTATTTCATTCAGTTGAGCTATAAAATAAAATAAATTTACAACATCAAGAAATGTTCACTTTGCGAAGACAAATTAATTAATTTCAAAAATCAATGGAACGAACTTTAAAAGGTGTTATTCAGCTTGAATTACATCCTCCGATATTAGTAGACATTGTCAGTGTATTTAGTTTTCGAGATTTTCTGTAACACGCACACCATGTTTTAATTCATTCCATATGTGGCATTATAAAGGATATGCGCTCGTACGTAACGATATTTTATAATTATCATATATATGCAAATAAAGTCATGAAATTATGCTATTCCCAATCTAAATTTGGACTTTCTTTCGTTCAGGTTTGATTTTCCTTATTCCCTTCCTTAGTTTCAATGATTCCAACCCTCAGCATCAGTGACGAGTCCTAGAAAGACGTAACAGCTGTATGATGCAGTTTAGTTCATTGGTCGGATCTACAGAATCTAACTCTAAATTTGTATTGAAAGGTGATATTCATCAACTTCAATATTTCAAAAGCCGTTTCATCAATGCTATTTGTTTTGCTGATGCAAAATACAACTTTACCAACTCAGAAAGCCAAAGACCATCATCACAATATATCTAGAATAGCCCATACATTTTTCTGAAATTCTTTAGAAATCACTCTCTATAAAATCAGGATTTTCTTAAGCAAGATCTTTATTGGATATCTGAGGTCCTATATCATTGTGATGAGTTGAAGTTATCTGAATACAAACCACAGTAAACTGCTGCCTGAACACCATGCATTGAGCTTATTTCTGCGTATAACTTCAGTGGTTGTCTCCCCTAAGTCTAATGAACCACTTTCTTGGTTGTCTCCCCTAAATCAACCGAACCACTTTCTAAGTGATAGCTCCTGTTAATGGCAATTTCAATTTATTTGAGAGCTTTAGACTTTAAAATTATTTGAATCCTCAGCCGCCCTCCCTGATTCGTACAGTTTGAAGAAATCAATTATTGGTTTTTTCTGAAATTACTTCATTTTAAAACAACGTTTACCAGCATTTGGTACTTGTTTAATTGAGTGTTTTAGACTTTAAAATGTTCTGAAATTTCAACCGATTCGTGTTCTTTAGCTCTTACACTTCAGTTTTCGAAATTAAATTTCAGCATTTGGTATAAGCATTTTTTGTTGTTAAATTCCATCCAACCTCTCCGTGTCTCGTTCTTCTGTTCTAGGACTTTAGCTTTTAAGTTCCATTTGTGGCAATCAGTATCAGTGGCAAAACAATACCGTAAACAGCAGAATGTTGATTAAAATATAAAAACAGGAGAGAAAAAGTATGGTATTCAGTTAGCTCCTTTTGAAATTGGGGATTCTCGAGAAATAGTTTTTTTCATTCCTTTTATGTATATCTCTTTATATTTTGTAATGAACATTTCGCCTTTTGGCAGCAATTTTCAGTTTCGTTTTTATATGGAATATACAAAAATGATTGCTTTGTTGGCACCAGATAGATTTCACGTGATATCGTAATGTAGTTTTTTTTAATATTACTATACTTACGCAAGGTGAACCTAGTGTCCACGTGATCGGTCTCGTACCAATGTCTGTCTCCACTTTGATATTTCTTAAACTGTCTGGCTATAATACAAGCAAATGTGGGTCCGACTGCTGCTCCAGGTAGACGAATCTCTGACAAACCTCCTGTATAGAGATCAATGTCATCCGGGTGACTGTAAAGGGAGGCAATTCATTATTATACAACTTGTACGTTACATATCAGCTGTGAAATATATTGTTTAGAATATATGTACCTTACCTTAATTAACTTAAAACTGAACAATATTTAAAGAATTTTTGGAGGACGTTTTTTCACAGAACACACAATATTTTTATTTGTGTGAGTGAGGTCTGGCAATCTTGCCAACTGTGTCAAAGAAATTGAAGGACAACAATATAAAACTGTAACTGAAACTTATCTAACATCAAGAGTTGGTAAACTCTTCTGTCATCTGTCTGTTCTGATAATTATGTCACATTAAATTATATTAGCACATATCTATTTTTCTTTTGCCAACTGCAGCGATCCTCCCAAAATACAATATCTAAGAGATTCGTTAGAATACTTACTGTAAGACGTTTACATTGAAAACTAGATACTTTTGAATTAGTTAAGGTAGCTTCGTATATGGATAAAAAAAAAGAATATTTTACAATACAATATATTGAATATTATACAGATAGTGGTAAGAAGTACAATATACATACGTGTATACTGTGGACAATAGCTTTCTGGTAGCTTGATCATGATCCACTAGTCTCCCAAAGCCATCCCCGAAATGAATGGCAGTCTGCAGACCACACCACTTCCGCCACGTGTTATAGGGTGCAAGTCCATGGTCACGCCCCCTTTGAATATTAATAGCTGCGAGATCAAAACTCTCTCCATCATCCTTCAAGAATAGAAAATTCCTGACACTATCCTGCAAACGTCGATCATTCCGGTCATGGTAGGAATTCGCCATCCATCGCATCATGTTTTCATCTCCGTCCTCATCAAACATCAGATCTGGTCTGTTGAATTGTGTATGAAGCGGAATAGCTTTAATAAGGCTGTAATTTCTTGCCATCATTGCTAAAACTCCCGGAACTTCTGAATGTCCGAATCGGAACGCTGCAGCACCAAAAGCATTTGAAGTCGAGGCATCTACAGTTGAGTCGTACACGTTGTTGTAACCATGCGCTGTCGGGAAGAGACCATAACGTTCCATTTGTTCCTTGCCTAAGACAATTGGAAGATATTCAGAAAATGTTATGTGTTGGAGTTCTGCAGCGACGATTCGTTTGGCTTCCTGAAACAAATGTTCGTCGTCCCAATTTGGATTCAGTGCTCGCAATCCGTCCGCCACCTTGTTGTGTTCTTTTACAAACAGCAAATGCAGACATGTCAGAGTCGGTGTCACGTGGCGGCGTCCATCACCTAGAGTGGAAACATTTCGGTACCTTAATACCCACCTATATCTATATAATCTAAGATACCGTTTTGTTTTGTTTTATTTGACAATGGCTTAAGCATAGAGACATAGGATGACAATTGACTTTTTCTAAAACTTCCAATTTTCGCCGGGTTATCTCGCTTCTCTCCCAGAGACTTATGATATCTTGCTACTCAGAATTTAATCCACTTAGCCTCAAATACCATTACACACAGAAGCATATATCGAAATCCGTATGAAACAAAAATATTAAGTAAATGCAACATAAGTTTTACCACATACAGAAAAACGAAAAAAATCAAATTATGATACCTGTCTTTATCTCCAACAATTTTTCACATCTATTTGATAATTATCAGATAATCCATTTTCTATGGTTCTATGATATAATTATCTTAACCTATCTTTAAAAAACTGGACATTTTCTGCATATTGTACCAAACCATATTAACATGAGAGACTCCGGACATATGTTCTTATTAAGTTTCCAAGATTTATATTTCACATTATGAGAATAAGATATAAATTACAGCGCAGTATGACATGAATTTATTGGGGTACAACAGGAGTATTTCAGATTATTTGATTTACGTCCCCTTCAACGATCGACACAAAAATTGAATGTTCATAGCACTTGACCAAACAATGAGTACACAAGGATTTCGGAATTTTAGTCATGTATATGAAATGTTACTATTTTTGGTAATAGTTAGGTGCTAAGTACACGGTTCAGAGCAAAAATGTCTTTCGTGTAATACAGAAATATTCTGATAATTGATTTCCTTGGTTGCTCTGTATCATCTTTTTTCGTAAGGATTTTTTCCGTCGATTTCGCGGGTACCTTATTTCACGAAATTTATATGTCCACAAACTGTTAAAGTTAGTAAAAGTAGATTGATTGAGCTGAATTCATCACCGAATTTAAATTCCGCGAAATGTTTTTTTTAATTAAAAATGAAATTTTAAACAGAAAGCCTATACAGGTGACATCAATTGAAAAGTTGTATAATGATTATACCTGATTGGAAGCAGTGATGTCCAGGTGAGGATAAGATACACTCGTCCTCAGGTGCGCTGTGCAGATGTCCAGATGGGGTCAGCTTAATACGGCCTGCCAAGAACATGAAATAAATTAAATAAGAGGAAAGCTCGTTGGAGTTTCTGGAACCGATTGTAAAAATTTAGATAAACGGACCTTTTTTGGAAACAAATTTAATGCAAATCGAATATTTCTATAAAACAGAAAACACGTACAGCTGTGAAAATTCCCATATCTTTTTTAACTTACAATTGCTGTTGTAGATATCGGATTCTTCAATTTTGTAAAACTAAAAAAAATTACGGCTTATTTGAAAATCAAATATATTTTCTTCTTAGATAAAACATATGTGATTAAGTGTCCGACAAAGTACTGTACCATTATGGTGAAGTCTCAGTTCGTCCTGGTGAACTTTGTTGGATCCGTAGATGGTGGAACCATCGATATATGATGTAGGATGGTTAAGTTGTTCTCTATGTCCTATCAATACCAAAAAAATGAATTAAAAAAGTAGTAATTGACAAATGTATTGTTGAATAATTGACAAATGTATTGTTGAGTAATTGACAAATGTATTGTTGAGTAATTGACAAATGTATTGTTGATTAATTGATAAATGTATTGTTGATTAATTGACAAATGTATTGTTGATTAATTGACAAATGTATCGTGGATTAATTGACAAATGTATTGTTGATTAATTGATAAGTGTATTGTTGATTAATTGATAAATGTATCGTTGATTAATGGACAAATATATTGTTGATTAATTGACAAATGTATCGTTGATTAATTGACAAGTGTATTTTGTATCAACAAATTACCCAATTTTGTTAGAGTTAGCTCTCTCATTTTACTCCGTACCATAAACCTTGTTGGCATGCGAAACGAAGTGAAATGCTATATGATTTTTATTCGGTTTTTTAAACCTGAAACGTAATGTTTTAGACTTCACATACAATAACTGTTCATGAGCCAGGGAACAGTTTTAAACGAGATCTCAAAAATGAATGTTGAATATTGACACGGAATGAAATGCATTTTGTTTTCTTTCCTGATCACAAATGTCTGCCAAAATCAACAATGCAATCCTTCTATCTCTATTAAAATTGTATATTTTCTTCAAAAGATGTCGCACTGGTGGAACGTAATGCATTTTGTCTGGATAACCACATCATACAAGATTATTATATTTAATTAGTTAAACCATAATTTGAATATCAAATTTATGTTAATTTAATATAATTGATTCAAAATCACATATTCAAAATGATAATTGAAACACCTGAATCAGTAACTGTAATTGCGCTCATGAGTAATGGTTAATATGCAATTTTTATTTTATTCAACATATCATACTACCTGGATCACAGTTAAGAAAGGGCGTCGCCGACGATCTCACGAAACTCATGCACCATCCCCTAAACATGGGGTCATCCAGGGGCACTGGGATCGGGAAACAATGATCACTATAAAACCAAGGAATGACATGGCCAATAACATCAAATAATAAAAAGGAATGTTGAATATTAAATATGTAAATATTAAAAGATCACATCGCTGATATTTTAATTGAATTGCTAATAATCAGTTTTTATGACATATCACTTACGTTGGAGGTATAATCATCAATTTTAAATACAGCAAGATTGTGCGTATGGAAATGGCATTATTATGTTTGAGATTGATGCACTAATTTATTTGATAATTTATTTGTTTTGCCATGACTTATTAAAATGTCTGGCATTTCATGTTTGTTATAATGGCGTACTAATTTGTTTGGATTAGGCGCATTAATGTCGTATGGTTATCATAACTCAAAAATTCCACAAACATAAAGGCTAGGACATGTTTACTGCATTTTAACCATGTAAAAATTGTCATATCTATTTCTGATTGAAATACAGATAAAAAGGGTAAAAATCTCATTTTCAGTGTGTCTTAGACATAATTCTAAGTTTCATATAAATCTGATGTTATACTTGGTCGTATATAAAGTGGGAAATATTTTCTACCCGGGTAAATTTTCGTGTCACTTTGTAACGTAAAGCACCGATTGGCTGAGAGAGGTCGCGTGACTGAGCCTCGATCCAGAAAAAAGTGGCAGGGTACATCAGAGGTAACTTTTGTTTTCGGGGAATATATTGATCAGTGATTCATTCAAGTTATCAGTTACGACATTTGGTTGTCTGTCATACTTATAAGGATAAATTGACTTTGTCTAAATATTCATTGTACGTCAATGTTTTAAATCAACATAAGTAGTTGTTAATTACGTATTTGACCATTGCTATTAACTTGACCATAATTAATTTCTATAATGGACAACTTACTCCTTATTTCCTAGTGGACAACACTTCATATCCTTTCCTTTATCATCTGTAAACAATATCATCGAAACATGTTAAATTATACACAAAATGTTGACATATTAAATAAACAGAATTGATATTTGAATATGACCGATTGAAATCACCTAACAGCTATGATGTGTACAACGGTTTAAATACAAAAATAAATGCTTGTAATATGAAACATTCCATTCACATTTATTGTGTAATTTCTCTGTCAAAAATTCCTATAATTGAGAAAAATCTATAATAGCATGAAATAAAATAAAATGGAAAGACATCGAAATAGATAAAGACATGAAATATCTTTTCTGAAATGCTGTAATATTGAAATCTGTCGATTTTATCTCTTAAATTTCTTGAACGTCTACAAATTATACTAATGTTGGAATAAAAGGAGATCGCATTAGTTTTCTATCAAAGTCTATATTCCAAGCTAATTCATTTTCGTGGGCATTTAATTTCGATGATGTCCGTGAATTCTCAATAGTTATTCTCAACGGTTTTTAATTCATCAGACTTGGTATTACCTTTCAGGACTGGTGTGTGTAGTATATCATGGTCAAGAAACTGGCCATACGCCATGAACATATTGGTGCTCTTTTTACTGTATACTGAGCTCTGGCCTGTGTTACTATGGACAACATTACTGATAAGTCTGGTACTCGGGAGTTGTCTCCCGTTGATCGATTTGGTCCTCGGTGCGTTAATTTCTGTAAACAAAGTAAATATTTTGGTGACATTTCCATTTCCAACTTCGGAGTTATAGACATCAACTTTTGCTTCGCAATTTGAAAACATAGAAAAAGAATCGATATGAGATCATGTACGTGACTTCAGTATATTGATTTTCATGGGGACGTTTTGGCAGAATCCGTACGCCATAATGATAATTATAATGATACTACGTTACAATATATTTTCAAGGAATAAATGCCGACGATGATGATGCAAGACATCAATTGAAAACGAAAGAAAATAAGACAATTACCATCTTCGTACTGAGGAGGTAGAAACCTTGTCTGTGGCATCATTGTACTAGCCCAAAATGGATGATCAACGTTGTTGCATGTTCCGTCCGCGGTCCTGTATCGCGACGAGCTCTCGCACGTAATACTTTGCGCCATAAATTCACAATGTGGTGTCACGTGCTTCCGCCATTCCTTCATCAACATTTCGTCCTTCATAATGGCTTCTGGCCATGCACCTGTCCTACATAAGAAATCAATGTTTTAATAAGTTTGAATGATAACATGGCCTGTTTCATCACCACCTTGTCTTGATTACAAGCAAAATGAAAACAATGCGAAATGCAAGCATACTTTGAATACATTACAAAATTAACGAAAACATAAAAAGGCAAAATTATATCAATAAGTAGGTTATATTGTAGGAGTCCATTACATGTTTAATATGAAATCGATAAACATCTCTAACATCACATTCAAGGTCGTACCTTGAAGTTTACTATTTCCAAGTGGGTTTCACGGTGGAGTGAAATCGCGAAAGAAATATAACTGAGGAGACACTGAACAGGGAATCATAACCGTTTTTTACGAAATGAACAAACATTTGTTTAAAACTATAAACATCCCTTGTTCGCGCATGCGGTATAGATCACTTACAGTTTTTTGAAATTTTCCTGCACTTGTCTAATGATCCGAGCATTTCTGTCGAGGATGCGCACGTGCTCATGCGAGTGTCCGCCTTCTGTATGATCCATGTGACCTGCATGGTGGAATAATTGACACTAAACAACTTCATTTTTATGTTTTTCAATATAGCGACACTTTTTTAAGATGGGAAGTTTGCTTTCGGTGTTTGTTTCATATATACTCTGATACTAAATAATTTTGTAGATGTATGGGAATGCCTGTGAAGTATGGTATGAAAGATCGCAATGTTGGATGAAGTGAATGATGTAATATATAGATATTAAAATAGACAAAAAACAAATGGAAAAAGCAACATATCTTTCATTCTAGTCCATATTTTTGCCAACTTTTCTTTTAATTTTGGGTCAACCGAAAGATTCATCAATAATTTTAACAGTACCAATCATGAGTCATACAAAACCATACCGTGCGATTTGGAGTGATTTGCTATACTAAAAATACTTACCTTTTGAGTGTCCGTTATGGGCATTGTTGTCCGGTGAATTCATCGTTTGAGAGTGATGTCCGTGATGTTGTTTGTGTCCAGCCGAGTGACCACCAGGCTTGCCCATCCTTTCTGAGTTGACTTGTTCGATAGCTGTATCTACACATATCTTGATTAGGTTAGAAACGAGGTCAACACTGGTTGGCACGTGCGATGATAGGCAGCAACTGAAAAGGCCAGCCAGGGTCAAGGACACACGCAATACTCCCGCCGCCATCATGCCTGCTGTATTTGAAAAAGGAAAGTTATAATATCACGCATCATCAAACATGATGCATGAGTGCGAGTCTCAATTAAAGATATCAGTGACACACAACGGCATCATCATCTACTATAAACTACGATAGCACAAAGAGAAAAATAAAGGACTAGTTCAATAATGATTTCTTCAACAAATGATACTATCATCCCGTGATATGTACATTGTTATTGTTGACAAGCCTGATAAGATTACATCTTGTTTGGTAGTCGGAATAGCAATGTGTGTTAATGGACAATAATACAATTTGCTAAAACTTCCATAACTTGAATTTTGTAAAATAAATAAATATGCCTCCCTTTGAAATCTTACAATTTTGTGATGTTCAGTTTCGTGGTTTTAAATAATCAAATCAACAGATCTATCTAGGCCGGTTTGAACAAGACTTGAACATATCAATTTGTGAAATAAGAATACCAACAAAAACAGCATACGATATTCCCACAAAATGAAATTATTTTTCGGTTCTTATTTTACACTTCTAATGCATACGTGATCAAGTCTAAAATGGTCTCGCGTCTCAGAACGCATTTTATACCGGAGAAGGAAGATTATTTGAAGAACAATGTAATGGATGAAAAACAAACCAGATCTAAAACATTGTCCATTTTATTTATTAACGGATGAGTTAAAGAATTATTCAGAGACGATGGTAGTATAAATCCTCCAAGTGGGAACGACAAACATCGATAATGATAATTTTTAAATATCATTTATTGATCATCGTAGAATAATGGTTATATAACGCATCTGTTTGGTTAATTTTCACGATCTAATCCCCGTTATACCTATGAAAACGTAATGCCGAAATTCGATACCACTATGCCGGGAGATGATAATGAAGATAGCGATATCATTGATCCAGAGTATTTAAGTCAACTCGATCCAAATCTGACTGGTTTATTGAAAATTGACAACGAGCTGAGCACTTCAGTCTACCCTACTGATCGTGATGCTGACACCAACATTACAGATTCTGGTGCTCCGTCTGACAGTGTATCAAGTCCCACAGATCAGGGTCCAGAACGACTTACAAAGCAAGTCTTGTATGCACACGATCTGTAGGCTATAAATATATATACTGTCAAAAACATCAGTCGTGTCAAGATCAGTAGCAAGAGAAAACAATGGATGTCTTGTGCGAGATTCGCAGGATTGAATAAATGAATGTCGTCGTTTCATCACTGTCTGCCGTGTTTTAAACAAGACTATTGTTGACCAATTGATTTTGATATTTAGGAGATGAGACCAGTGATAACCACAATGTAGCAAGATCAGGCGTGACGACAGCCAAATTTCTGGAAACAGACAAGGACGAATTGGCAAATTTAGTAGATATGAAAGATTCTGAAAGAACGAAAACAACAAAATCGGCTGTTCCCTGGCGTGTGTGAATAAAGTATTCATGGTTCAAAAATACAATGTATAAATATGCAACTCCTATTTAATAGTTAAATCAATACAAAAAGATATCTATGGTGGAATATTTCACCATATTCTGAGTTAGAATATCATGAAAAAGACGCTGAGGTAACAGACATCTAGCGGTAGACAATAAATACATGTTATTTCATACATGAAAAAAGTATGGTTTCGTAAAAGTGGAATGGAAACCACATTTGAGCAGCGAGGATTTGGACTAAAGACTGCGAGTTTTCTTATGAAGTTCGAAATGTAGAGGGGAATTCATACAGAAAATCTGTTTCTGCTGGCATCCGAACAGGCGTATAACGTTATTTAAGAGATCTGAAATTTGAAAAAAAAAATACAAACACTGTGAAAAAGTAGTCCACAGGTCAAATGTCATTTTTACTTCCATGTTAACGAGACAAAAAAGAAAATGGCATGACATTTCCAGTCATCACCAGTTCATTTCTGATGGGGAAGGAGAAGAATTATATATCTATTTCAACAACAGTGATAAGGATCCTCATTTGCTAGTGCTGAAGATTCGATATAATTGTGTCCGACGTCATGAAATCATTTTATCACACTTTGATTTTTAAGGTATCTTCGACCATAGTGAAACATTGCAACTTTCCAGTATTACAACCTTTACAGTATATAAACTTTGCATATGAACATAAGAGAATATCAAGTGAAGGGAAACACGTTGTGTCCTCATAAAAATGAAGGTCAATTAAGCAGTCATCAATGCTACGTATTCTTTCCTGCATCACGATGTTTGTCACGATGTCTCCTGTCATATCCAGGAAAGATCCCTTGACGTCTAACGCATAACAAATGTTAAGTCATAATGAATCCCTAAAAGCACATAGTTGCCAATTAATTAAAATCACAGGTGAAGTAAACAAATTTGATTTTGACATTCATAATCTTATCTTCAACAGTCAAATGTGTATGACATGCCAAACAAATGTTAAGTATTCAGGTGGTCTATCCTCCCACATAAACTTCGTTCCGTATCAATTGTTTTATATCATATTAATCGAATCCATACACTGAAATTGAAATTGATCTTCTGGTTTATGTGTCTTAGCGGTTTGCTTGTTTGGTTTTTTTTATACAATTCTGAGGTCAATGGTTGATCTTGGTTAATTAAATCATCTCAGAAATGGTACAGAAATTCCAGAAAAAAATGTAAGGTCATATTACTGTTGTCATTAATTGCAAAATTATTTATTTTTCTGCTTCTTATGTACGGCTATTAATTTTCGTTGAGGTTTCATTTTCGTTGATGTCGCGTTTACTCTTAATCCACGAATTCAAATTAACACTAATTGAAGAACTGTTAACTGAAATAGATAGCAATTTCGGGTTTCGGGTTTCTTAATTACTAAAATAACATGAAATTTCAAACCCGCGAAAAAGGAAGGGTGAACTTTACTTTTAAAGTAGGCTAAGTAAAGATGGTATTTAAAGCCTCTTCATATGGTGTGATAAGTGTTTTATTTGTTTATATGAATGGAATATGTTGTTGATAGTAATCTTGTCAAATGAAAGGTTTTTATAAGAAAAATCCTAATGGCTTGAAAAACATTACCTACATAAAAATACCGATATATTAACAGAATCATAATTCAAACAAAGTCGACGAAAGGAAGGCATAATATGAAAAAAGAAATGCTTTTCACAGTGAACGCTTCAAAAGTACAAGAGGAATAGGTTCCAGAAGGGTGAGCGTTTTCTGTTACATCGACGACACCCGCTATGTAAAGCTTGGTCAATCCAGGTAAGTAATGTTATGTTCTTACATGAGGACAAGGTTAACAACAACGGAACCATCAAGCAAATTATGGAGCATCGTTCACAACTAACTTCATATCGGATAAAGAAACAGAATATTTCCCGATCACTATAACGATCTTTTAAAATTCCAGATAGTCTTTCACAATTTTATAAGATTGTTTCAAGTTGTGTATATTGCCATTTGTGGACATAATCGTTTTTAGATTCAATCATCCGAAATATTTGTATATTAATGACAATGACCTTCTTGAAGCATGCATATGTAAAGGGTCTTACTGGATGAAGAAATTGAATTATCAAAGGAGAATGCACTAGGTTAGGCAGGTTTGTACTAACTATGCTATTTGAATCAAGTGCTTGAATGTTGTAGAAATAAGTAAGGGATGCCTATCGTACGTAAATAATCTTAAGTCGAAGAAAGTGACACAATATATTAAAGCTTTTAGATCTATTGACGCTAACAAAGTATGTACCGATTCCTTAATACACGGCGGACGAAAAAGTATTTAAAGCGACATTCAGCACTAATTAATCTATAAATATCTATTACATTACATTGAAGAATTCGATAAAGAATTATATCGTTTTTCAATTAAAAATACACGTATCGATATAAACTACCACATTTTTAACAATTTTGGTCATTCATCTTGTTGATGAATTCATACTTCTAACTTGAAGAAAAAGATTGAAATGTCAAATGTCATTTGGTCTTTACTTGATTTACTTCATTTATCCTTCGCCCCCAGAATATTCAATTTAGGAAAATCTCTTAACATTTGCCGGTATTGTGTCACGAAATTGTTAAAACATAGACCTTATAGGACGGCGTTGATTTCAGAATGAAGAAATTTTCCCCTCGGCGGAAACACTTTTTAACAATTTTACTCACTAGTCTTGTTCATGAATTTTTTATACAGCTTTGATGCAAGCTGCATGTAATATAGAATTGAAAAGTGTTTTTAAATTAAACTGAAATGGTTTTGGATGCATAAACAAAAGCCATAGACTGCTTTCATAACCATGTCATTTGTGGAAAAGTTATACTCAAAAGAAACTGAAAAATAGACACCGTCATGTCTACCGCATTGTAATCATATGTCTTACTTGATGGAAAAGTACAACATATCAAAATCGATATAACACAAAGACTCATGAAAATTTACAGGATTGGTAAGACCAAGCATTCCGGAAACATAAGCGTCATTCTGAGACCACAGCCGCCATGTTAGTAGTGTAAATTAAGATTCTGAAAATGATTTTTTATAGTGAAGAGGGACACAACTGCCTAAAGACATTTCATGTCGTGGAATCACATAAAATACACATCAAAATATTATAATGGCTACGATACAATGATATATAATTAAGATGTTCATTCAACTGTGTAGACAGCCTATGTGCTTTTCCCTGAAGACCTACCAAGCGAAATATATTTTATGTCCATGCAAATATCATAAAGATAAAGACAGAAAATGGGATCTAAGGCCTTTAGCTCATATGCGTGGATTATATATTCACTGGTAACTAAATGCACAGAATATATGGACTAAACTGAGTATCAAATACCTATGTATTGTATTTATATATAAAATGTATGGTGGAGAACTTCAAAATAGAAGAAACGGAGCAAGTACTTACCAGGTGGATGCAGGTCCCGGAAATATTCCCCTGGCTAGCGGTGAGAGATGAACTGAATCAATAGCAAGACAAGGGGGTGACATCTGTGTGCCTGTTACAACCAGACAAAC